TAAGAAGTGTATAACAATACTCCAACAATGGTAAAACAATGGCACGACAGTGATATAATACTTATGTCCAATGCTGGCGCGCACAGCACAAACATTTAACAATAAGATAAATTTATTTCTAACAATGTCTTTATCTATTGTAACACAATATTCCAACAATGGAATATCAATCGCCCAAAAATTATATAACACTTGTCCAACACTTTCACAACAATCATCTAACAATAGTATTAACTAATTATGTTAACTATGATATAATAATATTCTAATAAAATGGTATTCAAATGCTCAAACAATGAATAACAATCATATAACAACCTTATAAAAATGGTACACCAATTTTCCAACAAGGCGCTTACACACACATTCATCTAACATATGTAAAAATAATCATCTAATAATGGTAAAACAGCCTTCTAACATTGTTATAACAATCATCTAACAATAATATAACAACCTTCCATAAATGGTATAACAATCGTATAACAGTGAAATAACAATCGTCTCACAATGGTATAACAGCCTTCTAGTAATTGTATAATATTCGACTAACAATAGTAAAACAGCCTTTTAGCAATGGTATAACAATCTTCTAACAATGGAACAACAATCGTCCAACACTGGCACAATTATTCAACATTAAACAACAATCATCCAGCATTGAACAAAAATCCTTTAGCATTGAACAAAAATCGTTTGGCATTGAACAACCGTCTTCCAACAAGGGCACATCAATCATCCAACAATGGCACAATAATCGATCAACAATGGAGCATCAATCTTCCAACAATGAAACAATAATAGATCAACAATGTGTCACACCAATCATCCAACAATGGAAATACAATCGATCAACAATGGCACAACAATTGATCAACAATGGAGCATCAATCATCCAATAATGAAACAAAAATCGATCCACAATGGCACAACAATTTTCCAACAATGGAACAACAATCGATCAACAATGGCACAACAATCCTCAAACAATGTTAAAATAATCGATCAACAATGGAACAACAATCGTTCAACAAAATGCCACACCAATCATCCAACAATGGGACAACAAGGCACAACAATCTACCAACAATGGTACAACAAACATCCAACAATGGCACAACAATCTTCCAACACTGGAACAACCGCTGTAGTCCACTACTCACCTGGCTGTAATCGTTCAGAAGATCAATGGAGGGTATCTTGACCACCTTATCCCCGCCGTACTGTCCAATCTGAATAGGACAGCCATAGGGCTGACCCTTGATCCAGAAAGGCTCCACGATTGAACGAAGGTTCTCCAGGAAGGGACAGATGTCATAGGTGCTGATGCACACAACTAGAATTATTCATCATTTCTAATTGAAACTACATTTGGGTAGCTAAACTCGCGAAACCGTTGAGAGGGTTCACCACTGATGAGCCAGGGGCCCTCCTATTAATTTTTACATTGTAGTAAGGGCTGTAGAAATTGTTCATTTTTTAAAAGAATCATACGCGTCTATAATAGTTTCGAAAGTTGTTTTATGCATGTTTAGAAAATATATTTCAATTATGTTTTTAAAATATGCATGGTTTTGTTTTCTACAAAACATCCAGATAACCTTTTTGAGTAAATTTCACTGTAGAATTTGAATGGTAGATTTTCACATTTTTACATATATCTGTTTCCCGTCAATAATTACATACACCAATTATGGTATGATACAGAATCCTGAAAATAAAACCTTGTGGGATGGTTGCGTGATGTGTTGGTGTGGCTTGTGGAAAGGCCGCTGATAAAATTATAATAAATTTATTTAAAGCCAGAAATATATAGAGAGAAAAGAAGTAACGGCCGTTGGGATCAAGCCTTCTTGTTTACCGCGCGAGCTTTGTCCCAGTTCGCGCTCGCTGAAGCAAAGTGTGGTCGCCACAACCTCATATAATAATAGCATACCGAAAAGATAGAAAAACAAACTCGTGCTTTAGATGTTGTACAAAATTTGAAATACCGCGTGAGAATGCCTTTGCAGCCTTAGAATAAATTTTGACGCTTTGCCAAATGTTTTAATTTTTGTTCGCTCCTAACGAGGACAAAAGATTTATGTTGAAACATCGAGATAATAAAAAGATTTACTGGTCGAAGTATCTTTAATTTGAAGAACTATGAATGCCGACCAGGTAACATCTATCTTTACGATAAAAAGAAGAAGAAAAAAGAGGAGTATTTAAGTAATGAATTTACTTTGTTTTTCTACATAACACATGTATTTAATTTTTAATTGAAAAAAAGTTTAACTGTTTTCTATATGTGTAAATATTTGGTACATTTACACAAGTCACTAAATATCCTCCAGGATTATCATGGTCAGTGCTACGTGTACATGGGATTAGTAAAGAAAACTAAAGATTTTCAAGTTCCAAAATCACTTTATTAGGTACCACTCAAAAAGAGCAACCTATTTTATGATAATTGCAACAATGAATGTAAAATTATTCACATATTGAACAAAATGTTAACGTGGGATTCAATCCCGGTTCATGACTGTCGGGAATCGAGGATGTTACCCACTCGTTCACTGACTCTTTTTACTAAAGATTTTCATATTTCTATGGGAGGGGGGTCGGTGGAAGGATGGTCTAAACCGTTGGTTTTCGACCTTATTCTACGACCCGGGTTCGATTCCCGTATTGGACACTTTTTTTCTGATTAAAAAAAAATGCTCCAATGCCTCCCGATTCTTGCAAAAGTTGAACTCCACCAGCGAGTGCAAGTAACTAAACGGGGCTCTGGCACATTTCTAAGTGCAAAGTCGAACTGCTTTTCACATGTGTAGACATGTGGTGCACTTACAGTAAAAGCAGTCGCCTTCTTCTACTCACCATGATTATCATGGTCTGACCACGTGTACTAGGGATAAGCAAATAATAAAATATTTCTATCTATCTTCACATCGTAGAGAGAGAAAAGATGTACTTACCAGGTTCCTATGCCATCTATACAGGGAATGGGTAACCATACGGATTCTTCATTTATGACCAATTTACGGCGCATCGTGACATTGATCTTGGCATCCTTTGGGATGACATTGTTGACTCGGAGGTCCAGTTTGACTTTGACATCCCCAGGGATAATTATGGGCTGCGGTTCGAGGTCAAGGTTTTTTACATCCAGGCCAGGGTTCTTTAAATCCCCTGGTAACATAGGTCAAGTTAGATGGATGCATGTGTGACAATTTAAACAATACAAATGATTCTTATGATCAATTTTTTACAAAAAGAAAAAATTAAGATCAAATAAAGTTAATAAAGAAGTAAATAAAGGGTAGATAAAATGTGTAGGAAGAAATATATATATCAGTACTGGGATAAGATGCATAAATTATTAAAAAGGCATCTCCTTATCGTGCAACTGAAAGTTGCTGATTGCTTGCGCCATCTATCGGAATAAATATCAACTATTCTCGTTGATTTCTAATTATTCCAGAATTGGCCAATTTCCCATTCTTGTTTAATCAAGAAAAGCTAACCACGTACGCGTTTCGGGCTGTTGTCCCTCATCATAGTTGTATATGTACAAATTTCTTCTGCAAGGAAGACTTCCACACCTTGAGAGTGTTCTTCTCCAGACAAAGAGAAGGGGGTCTTATTGATATTTGGATAAAAAGATAACACATCAGAGAGAGAAAATAGAGGTAATCCGGGCTCCTGGAGCGTAAATCGCCAACTACCCGGGCAGTACAGCAGTCTAGACGAGAAGTCTAGTCAATGGGGGGGAGGGGGGGCAGATTGTTGAGGTGAACCAGGTAACCAGGTAGTTCCAGGCCGGCAGGGAGTCAGGAAATAGGGGCAGGGCTCTCGGGCTGAAGTCTTGTACTCCAGCATCATCATGTGGTCAATATTGATTTATTCGAAAAAAATCACTCACAGACACGGCTAAATAGATGCAACACAAATCACATCTTAATAAAGCTAAATTGATATCATAATAATATCTATAAGTTCTTCAATATGTGAAGTTTTAGCTTTAGATTCTAGCATAGTTTAAACTTCCTATAAATATTTCTAAACTAGAATCCAAACCGCCACTGAAAAGTTTAAATAAATTTTGATTTTTCATTGAAAAGAAACTCATGCGGGATAATTTTTAAATGGCGTTTTAGAATCACAAGCCGCATTATATTATATTGTATTATAAATGACTTTATGTATTATTTACGAACGGAAAAATATGTCCAGGGTAGCCTAGTGGACATGGCATCTGCCCGGTAAGCGGAACACTGTGGGTTCGATTCCCATCCCTGGACACTTTTATTTTTCCGTTTATCATTACTCTTCACAATTCATCCTTTCATACCTCATCTTTAAGGTTATAAATAATCGTTATTTCTCCTTTAAATAAATTTTGATTTTTCATTGAAAAGAAACACATGCGGGATAATTTTTAAATGTCGTTTTAAATATTGATTCATTTGCCAAAACTCATATCTTTATAGATAGTATTGTCTTACAGTCATTTGAAAATTATGGTAGGCTGATTGATGAGGTACATTTATATTAGGACTGAGATACAATTGAAATTAATTAAAATTAATGGAGTTAGTGCAAAAAGTCAAACTGCTTTCTCTATGTATAATCATATGACGTACTTTTTAAGTACGGGCAAATGGCTAACTACACACTTGAACCATATGGGATAAGTGAAAAAAAAAAGAACAATAAATGCTAAAAAAAAAATGCGACGGCCGGGAATCGAACCCGGGTCAACTGCTTGGAAGGCAGCTATGCTAACCATTATACCACCGTCGCTCGAAAAATTATTCCCAAGGTTTCTATATAAAGGGTTTAGTGAGATCACGTGATGTCTACTATTGACCCCAATTTTCTAGATAAGAGCTGAATCCTTCCTCTTTGAAACTTAGAAATTCTTTCATTTACGTCTGGGATGTTGTTAACTTTACGTGATCACTTCACGTGATCTCCTTACCCCTTTATTTAGAAATTTGGGGACTTTTCATCGAGCAACGGTGGTATAAGGGTTATCATAGCTGCTTTCCAAGCAGTTTACCTTGGTTCGATTCCCGGTCGTCGCATTTTTTTTTTTTTATTGATTCATTAACTTTATCGTTTTTTTTTTCATTTTTTATTATTTTATTTATCCCAAGTGGTTCAAGCCAAGATAATCATGGTATCTAGTTAGCAACTGCTTGTACTGTAAATACGCCACATATGACTAAACATGGAGAAGGCAGTTCAATTTTTGCACTTACACTATTAATTGTGTGATTAATATCAATTGTATTTCAGTCCTAATATAAATGCACCTCTTCAATCAGCCTACCATAGTTTTCAAATGACGATAAGACAATGCTATCTATAAAGATTTTTTTTTTTTGATTATCCCAAGTACACGTGGTACAGGCCATGATAATCATGGTGGGTAGAAGTAGGCGACTGCTTTTACTGTAAGTGTACCACATGTCTATACACGAGAAAAGCAGTTCAACTTTGCACTTAAAAATGTGCCAGAGCCCCGTTTAATTACTTGCACTCGCAGGTGGGGTTGGACTTTTGCAAGAATCGCGGGCCATTGGAGCATTTTTTTATTTTTTTTTTATTAGAAAAAAAAAAGTGTCCAATGCGGAAATCGAACCAGGGTCGTAGGGGTCAAAAACTAACGTTTTAGACCATCCTTCCACCGACCCCATTATAAAGATGTAAGTTTTGGCAAATGAATCAATATATATAGGAAGATTAAGCAATGTTAGAATCTAAGCTAACACTTTATCTAACGAGTAAAGACATTAAGACGCGAATGTTTTTTTTTTTTTCACTTTTTTTTTTCTTTTCACAGTGAATATTCATCCTTCACATATTCAGGCGGCCTAAGGTTGGAGACATGTCCTGCTTACTGTACCCATTCCATTTTAAACTACTGTAATGTAAAGGGGAGTCGGTGGATTATTCGTCTAAACCGTTGGTTTTTGACTGCTATGACCTTGGATCGAATCCCGTATTATGCTCTTTTTCTAATTAAAAAAAAAAATGCTTCAATGGCCCCCGATTCTTGCAAAAGTCCAACCCCACCACCGCCGAGTTCAAGTAACCAAACTTGTAAGTGGCACATTTGTAATTACAAAAATCGAAATGTTTTTTACACGTGTAGACATGTAGTGCACTTACAGTAAAATCAATCGCCAACTTCTACCTATAATGTTTATCCAGGCCTGAACCACATGTACTAGGAATAATAATTATAAAAAAACACTGTAATAAAGCGAAATCTTAGCTACATCCTTTTATGAACTCGTATGTAATTCTTTGGACCATCCTTACTATATTGGGAACACAAACGGCGTCTAGTACTGGAGCAACAACAAAAATTATTTTAATTCACTCTCTTTCAATTAATTTTTCAGAATTGTTTAAAAACAAAATTTACCTTGCAATCATAGTCACAGATAAAATTCTTGATATTATTATTTGAGAATACTTTTTCATTCTAATATAATGACCAGGTTGAATGATAAAATATATCTCTCGAGAAAACATCCTTTCGAATTTATATTGAAAAAAAAAAATGCGACGGCCGGGAATCGAACCCGGGTCAACTGCTTGGAAGGCAGCTATGCTAACCATTATACCACCGTCGCTTGAAGGACCCTTTCCAAATTTCTATATGAAGGGTTTAATGAAGACATGTCCACTATTGGCCTCAATATTTTATATAAGGTATAAAACCTTCTTTTTTTTCAAAACACTGCAATTCTTTGCCATCTAAGCTTATACAACATCCAATTATTTAATTATGCATTCCTCTTGTTTCGGATGCGATCACTGCCTCACTTACTAAGCTCGGAAAGTTTGCCGCATCCTGGATATGTCTGACCGTATCTAAATAGTTATGGCAGAGCTTGACTGTATCTTCTTGCCAGACTTCTTCTGGTCTCCAACCGAAGCCTATTTGCTTCCTTAAAAGTGCCCACAACACCAGAAACCCTGATGACACTAATAATTCACCAACACCCGATTGATAACTGACACACCTTTATTAAACTTACACATCCTTATATACAGAATTATATTTACAAATATGTAAATCTTCTGAATGAATATGCAAAAAAAGGAGAAATTTACATAACCGGCGTCTCCACCTCTAATTCACCTAAGTCGTTTTATAGGGTTCAGATTTAAGTCCTATATACGTATGTGATAATCTGTATATAGGAATATGTAACCACCACAATCTATGTATAATGTATCGTCAAAAGGTTTAATAAAAGTTAGGCCTCGCGAGATGGGAAAGAACAATTAACAGGATTGCATCATCCAGGAAGTAAAGGTCACTGCCCTGGACCCATAAAACTTAAGTTCAAAGGCCTTCTTCTTCCTAGAGGATTGCAATCATGGCGACAATGGAGGTACTAAGCCAATCACATTTAAGCATGACAAATTGATAGCGAATCATCAGAGAGCACGTGGAAGGATCTCCACCAATGAAAAGTCGAGAGAGTGGATGTCGATTATCTCAGTGAAGAATATACGCCTTGAATTCCTACCGGTTGTATTTATTTACATACTATATTTGAATGTAAAGTAGATGAGGGTAGACGCACTTGAATTTTGTCATTTAGATATCATATATGTCATAATTTGTATATAATTGTATGCACCCCCGACCCACTATGCATGCACAATGTATGATTTTCAAAGATTTAATAAAGAATAAGGTAACTGGAGGAAAGAAAGTAGCAACAAGACATAGGAAGCAGGCTAAAAGCGGGCACAAGTATAAATAACTTGTACAGTCAATACTTCCTGGCAAGCCCGGACGTATCTGGTATCCGCAGAAGTTATATTAGTAGAGAGACGCCCAATATTTCCGGACAGGACCGGACGTATTTGATAACCACGGAAGTAAAATAGAGTCGAACTAACACCCGATACTTCCTGACCAGGCCGGGCGTAACTAACACCAAAGAAAGCCGCCGGTCCAATTAGAAAGTCTCCCCTAAATAGGTCAACCAATAGAAAAACGGGCACGTCCCATCCTTCGACCAATGGGAAGGAAGACAACTCGTGGTGTTAAATCGAAAAGCAAGAATTGTCAGAGTGATTTGGCTCTCATAGGAACAACACCTACAGTTGCTCCTTCGCTCCCAACGAGGTGACATCTGCTCTGGACCTCTCTCCCTCTGCTCATCCCATAGCTAAGTACAATCACCGCCATGTGATCAGATAATTAACAATCAAAATCGCTCCGCTCTTCTCAAGCTTTCTTTCCTCCAACCCAGTTGCCTTTTATTTTCAAACCCCATCACGTGTCCTGATTATTCCTAACTGTATGCTTCACTTGCCACTCAACGACTGCGTTTCAACCAATCCTCACCATTCAAATCGAACAACAAGAAATTTCGCAACGATATTGTCACAGAACGGTTAAGTCGACAGGATTCTACAACAGTGTAATACATCAAATATTGCAGTGTAATAACTTTGGATATATTACATAGAGTCGACAGGATAAAGAGATGGAATTTAATCAGGATCCCATAGGCGTAAAAACGGACAACCCTACGAAAGAAAGAGGAGAAGACGGCAGCCAATTGAGAGAGAACGAACAGGCAGGAGAAAGGCAGGAAATGACCGGCCGCGAGACAACTGCGCCCCTAGCGGACTTCGTCACCCAACTGTCGGCCCTCTTGACCCGAACAAAGATTTCTGATGGAGCTGAGTCGACAATCGCGCTTTTCGATGGCACATACAACGCGATCCAGTTTTTCCAGACGTTCGACCGAAAAATGGAAGGCGCCCCCATGGGAGAACAAGAAAAATTACTCCGCCTACCAAACTACCTGGTGCGACAACCCCTGGAGCTCTTCAGGAAACTTCGGCTGGCCGACCGGAGCTATTTCCAGGTGAGGCAAATCCTCCTAGATCTCTATCCTGAGTCAAGCGAAGCGTCCTTTGCGAAATATTTCGCCATGAAGCTTACTGGGCAAGCCAACCTAGAGACCTACTACCGGGAGAAAACCGCCATGGGATTGCAACTAGGACTTCCACAGGAGGTGATTCTCGAGACGCTGACAGAAGGACTGCCATTCAACGACCAGCGCCTAGTCCGCGTAGTGCCTCCCGAGAACCTAGGAGAGTGGTTCCGACTGGTACAGCGGATCCACGGGCCCAGTGTACCGACAACGCGACTCAGAGAAGATCAACCACCCACAATGTCGGGTCCGTATCACAGCACACCCCGACGCCCAGGTGCATGGAATGCACCTCTTCCGCCGTCCAACTGCAAGTTCTGCGGCGCGAGGCACTGGCACAGCGAATGCCGACATCGAGCAGTCCCGAGCCCCAAGCCAACCAACTCAAGCCAAGACGTCCCAGCCGAGCAGCCCTTTCGAGACTAAGGTAGGCCTCCCCCCTATGGCGTCAAGAATTGACTTTGAACTCTTATCTAACCCTACCTACCCCTTTAACCATGTATCTAAACATGTACCAAATGAATGCAAGCACGGGCTAGACCAAAACCTGTCCCAAAGGGCTCGTACAGCACACAAAGCTTTCACACATGGAAACCCTTGCCTGCATTCATTGCCCAAACCCCAAATATTTACATGCCACCATTCTAATCTCACACCACGCAACTTTTCATGCCCACAACATATAAAGCCACCACGACTTCAACCTACAATTCCAATAATGCCCAAAAAAGTGTCCGTACACCGACACAGCTCACCCACTTACCACACAAAATCCACACATGACCATACGTCGCCACGCCATAATCACGCAAATGTACCTCACAACATACACGCACGCCAAAAGACGACAACAACCAACAAACGCAACACGCGCGCCAACAGACGACAACGACAAACGAGCGCATGCACAACCGTTAAGAATAATACAATCATCCCGTCTACACAAAACATAGAAAAAATTCACGCCACCAAACAACCACACAATCGAAAAAAAATGCGATCTTTCCTAAAAGCTGTGAACGCCTATAAAGAGTTCATTCCGGACCACGCCCGCTTGCGGACGCCACTTGTCAACCTTCTAAAAAAGGATGTCATGTGGGTCTGGA